CGCGAGAGTAAGAAGGCACATCTGCAGCAGGGATCACTGCTCCTCCCAGTTGGGACCCTGGGCTGTGCTTGGTGGCAGCCGGGAGTGCCAGGGCAAAGGAGACACCAGCGAGGGCTGCTGATGCTGTGAAGGGTCTGCGGCTAAACAAAACTATCACTTGTTTGAAACTTCCCCAAAAAATTGTCAAACTTGTTCTAGCTCAGTAACTAGCTAGAGAGTAAAAAGGACATAAAATAAACCTCTTACAGGAGAGAGAGAGAGAGAGAGAGAGAGAGGACGGTTTAACTAGCAGTGCATTATCCAGCATGGCTAGAACCACTATGTCCTGAATGCTGATGCTCAAGCACCATAACACTCTCCATGTACTCATCTGTCTGAGAATATTCACATCTAAAACCTCCCATAGGAAATCTGAACCTCCCGACTCCCTCGCGCCCACCACAGGGTATTTGAAGACCTTCTACCTTGATGCTAAAGAAACAGCATCGAGGTAAAAATCCTATCTTAGGGAATTCTTTTCCCTAGCAGAGAGCACAGCTTCACTACAGGTTTTAAATTGTGATGAGCTGTTATTCCCCCAGGGTAACACACAAGCACTTGAGCTCTCAGGCTCCCCAGCCGCTTCAAATTCAAGTTCTTTGTCTTTTGGTACCAGGCAGAGAGACCTGTTGCCAGCACCCCTTCACCTCCCCAAACACTTCATCACCTGAGTTCCTACAGCCACTTTATTTTAAAACCTCTGCAATTCTCTTAACGAGCCTCATAACACAGGCATCTTTTGAAGCCCCTGTTCCATGGGGTACGTGACTCCGCACGAGACCATTAGCTTTCAAACAGCATATGGCTGTCCAGTTTGTAATATCACAAGAATCCCTTAAAATCATGACTTCCCAAAAGCTTTTAAAAGCTGAGAGCAAAAGACTGGCACTCCAAAATATCAGCTGCCTGTTGGCCCCACTGCCACTCACAGATTGGTGCCTGTAGGAAACAGCCAGCCCACCATGCACCCTCCAATTAATACATGAAAACACAGCAGCAAGGGCAGGAATAAGAGCAAATCCTTTATAAGCAAAGGCTGCTGCAGTGAGGATCGATGTTGAAAATGAATCTTTTAACATTTCTTCCCCCAAAAGAAACCAAACTTCCACTTATTCTAGGGCAAACTCAAAAGGTTTTATTTTAATTTTTTTTTTTTAGCAAATTCTATCACGTAAATGTTAACAAAAAACATCTGTACAATTGCCATGATACACTCAAAAGTGAAACAAATAAGATATAAATACAGATATGGATGTAACATGACAAAAGCGGAAAAAATAGAAAAAAATACATGCGCATGAACACGGTGCCAACAAAGTCATTTCTCATGGCTGGCATTTTTCAGAGCGTTTTTACTTCCCATTTAAAACATTGTTAGCAACGTCCTGCTGTATACTACAAAGGTCTATTTTTCTGTCCCTTAATATGTAATATTATGCTTGATAAATAAAGGGGTGGGGAGAAAAGGTTTTGATGACAAAGATGCAAGTTACATTACTTATACAGGTTATTGGTAAGCTAGTAATAAGCAATAAAAAAAGACAGTTTTGTATTGTATTGTAATCCAGGCAAGCACACATAGTGTACCCTTAAAAAAGCCACATGCCTCGATATTTCTGCACTACATGAGAACTACAGTACGTAGACCTGTGGGGCGGATGGATCCAGTATTTGCCCATGCCCACGGAGCACTGGTGCAGCCAACGGCAGAAAAAACATCCACATCTGAGATTTCGGCAACTTTGCAGCCAGGAGCCGCTGTCTGCTGAGAGTTTTCTCCCATTCAGACTTTTAAAGCATGGTGGGCAAAGAAAATACATTTTTTTTCTTTTTTTTTTTCTTTTTTTTTTTTTTTTAAGGGTACGAAAATTAAAGCCCTGCCAAATGGCCAGCAAAAAAAAAAAACAAAAAAAGGCAGCTGCAGTAGATGGCTACTGCTGGGAGAACGTGAACACAAGCTTCACCGGTGCGGTGAGGCACTGCCAGCATGCAGATCTTTCTCTGCAAGCGTGTGTGGACACTGTGGTTTGTAGCCAGAGAGACCTTTATGCTTGCTGAAGAGAAAACAAAATGATTGTACAGCTTGTTGAAGTCAGAACACTGGAGATCAGAGAGGTGACATTCAGAGCTAGCCCTTTGAGTACTTCAAAGGAAACACACACACACAAAAAAAATCGGGTCATGTTCAACATACTAAACAACCCTACTATGTACATTATACGCAATGATTTATAAATACCTAAGCAGAATGCTCTCTACTGTATACAGGTATAACATATTTCTAGAGTACTCAAAGGATGAACAGTCCTTGACTGACTCACATAACGAAATTAAGTAGCACGTTAATGAGCATCTGTTGACAAACAGAACCAAATCTGATTCAGAAAGTAAGGCCTGGTTCTACCTTTTGCAGCCCCAAGTGTGCCAATCGCATCAGAAAACGCAGGCTCGTCGCTGGCGTCGCAGCAGGTGGCACGCGTCTTGTCAAGGACGAGCCGTTAACTCCTCCCGCAGGGTCAGCGCACGCGCCAGGGTCAGTTCAGGGACGTTACAGTGCGTTCACTCTCAGTGCATACTAACAGGATTTTATAAGACATGTAAAATCATTTGAGAAGGAATTCAATTCCTGGAGATTTGCTACAGTGTGCCATTCAAAACAAAACAAAACAAACAGCAAATGGTGATGGACCAAGCTCCATCACAGCTGGGAAGGACTAATCACCATCTGGTCAGCTATGCTGACCTACTGAACCCCAGAACTGGAACATCAGAAGATGCTGAACTGAGATGGGGAGAAGGACAGGCATAAATACTAAGCAGTTAAGAGTACAAATTAAAAACAAAACCCAAAAAAACACAAAACAGAAAAACAAACCCACTACTAAAACTTCAAACAAGACAGCTAACTGCTGCCAACAAGTCAGCTGAGTATTTCCTCAAAAGGGAAAATAAATTTCTGTTAAACTAAAATAATTTGAATCATTCAAAAAATTAAAAAAGAATATTCTAATAATCATACTGAAAGATGTTGAAAAGAAATGGTCCACGGAAAGGGAGACACCAACCATGGAGCAGCCAATCCTCCCTCTAGCGAGGATGGCTTTTCTAAGCCTGTGGAAAGACCCTGGGGAAATCCCACCCCTCAGGATCGCATGATTCTCCTGCCATGGCATTACTTATTGGTAAAGATGAGGAAACTAGCCCTGCAGACAGCAAAAGCCTGGGCACATCCTGACAAACTCAGGAGCAGGTCGCCTCCTCTGATCTCACATCAGCAGGGAAAGGGACAGACAAGCTTTGCAGCCCAATCCCACATAGTCCCCACCAGCCCCAATCCCTCCTGAGCTAGGGACTGGGAGGTGAGCTGGCACCAAGTGTCACCTCCCAGCATAGCTCCTTGGGGCCAGGGCTGAGACAGACAGGGATGAACTGATGGAAAGGGAGGACAGTGGGGCTTTACCCTCCCCACTGCGCACCCCAGTGGAAACTCTCACATTCTCAGTATGCTATCAAGGTGTCCCTTCAGCTCCCCAAAGGGAAAATGGAGGGGGCTGGAGAGAGACTGAGGCACTGAGAGCAGCCAGGGAGCACACATCCATCACCGCAGCTGCAGCCCTAAGCTGCAGGTCCACCATCTTCTTGCATCACTGGCACTGGCAGCGAAAACTCAGTCAGTTCTGACCTATTGCAGGTTTGGGGTGGGCATGCCCATCAGCCAGGATCCAGCCCAGGGCCAAACACAGCATTAGCATCCTCCTGCTTCCCCTAGTTACAGGCAGAGGCAGGGGGAGCTCGCCCTTTGCAAAGAGAAGGGCGTCCCTTTGGGAAAGGGTGGTGCCGTGGGGTATCTGACTGCTGCTGGTTTGGCTCGGACTTGGTCTGTGTCATCAGGCTGCAAAAGGATCTGCCCCACTGCACCCTCACCCAGAGCACCCTGCTGACAGCAGTGCCCAGCGCGAGCCCTCCACACCCCTCCAAAACACAAAGCACCCAGCAGGGCTGTGCATGGGGCTGGTCAGGAAGAAGGAGGTTTCTGAAGGCAGCTAACAGCACTGCAGGCACAGAAGGGAGCTGTGGCAGGCAAGCAGCACTGTCCCAGCTGGCTCAGCAGGTGCTTCCATGGGATCTTTTTGTTCAGTTTCAGGCGCCCTTTTCTGTCCTCTGGGATGAACATTTTGCCAAAAGTACAAAGGAGTTGTGGGGACAAAGCCATTCACCACCCAACACCAGTGGGTCTGGTCAGAGAAACCCTTTGATGCTACAGACTTCAAGAAAAATGCAGCTAGCCTCACAAGGCAGCACTGAGATACAGCCCTGCCAGCTCCCACTGCCCACCCACAGACACACTCAGAGCCTAATCCAACACCCACCCACCTAACTCCAGTGTCCCATTTGCAGGCATTAGTCCCAGAACTGGGTCTCGGGTTCCCTTTGGGGAGTAACAAGTAACCTGGAGAGTCTTTTGAGCATATGAAAGAGCCGAATAGGTTGGGAGGGGAGAAATATTTACACAGTCAATGAAAGGAGCAAGAGTCCAGCTGTTTCACACAGCACAGCTGGCTGGAGAGCAGTTAGAGAGAAATCAGCCCATTGGAGGTCTGTCAGAAGAACTATGTACAAAAACTCATATGTTTAAAAAGAACCTACTTTTTCATTAGTCACTTGATATCTCTCAGTATTAAAGCATCCGAGGCTGGAACCACTGCCACATCTGCAACGATCTCCCCATGGAGAGCCCTGCACATTAGGCAAGCTGCAACAGCAAGTACAAAATAGGACCACAAGACTTGTAAGAGGAGGAGAACCTAGCCAGAACGGCCGGGGGCAGAGAGCAGGTAACTAGCACACAGAAACCAAAACTGGGTATGAACTAAACCAACAGGATTGTTTGACCTTTACGTGTGTCCAGGTTCTTGGACTCAGTTTTGGAACACTAACCTAAACATATTTCTGAGATTTCAGCAGGCTATACAAATATGTTTAAGTATGGCTTTCTGTTCACCTTTAATGACGACCGCAACACAGACCTTGCTTCCTTTACATTCAATACCAGTAAGATTCTACATAAGAGCTTTTAAGGGACTAAAATACTGATTGCAATAAATATCTGCATGGCCTCCTTGAGCTGATGGAGCGCGCCAGTGAAGAGTAGCAGAAAGGTCTCTGAGAGGCACCGTTGATTGCTTCTAAGTCTACACATATGTCCACATATCTCCATTAACTGTGCGTTGAAACATCTGAAGAGGAACTGCTGTTGCTGTTGGTGGTCTGGGCCCTCTTTATGTACAAGTTTAGTAGCTTCATCTGAAAGAAACAAACAAACATCAGGAGAAGATGCCAGGAAAAATAGGCGGACAAAAGTCGACTGCAAATCTTAAACCTCACGTTCTGCGGTGAACTCAGTTTTGAGTGAGCTGACACTGGGGTCTCTGGAGGAAAAGCAGAAGCAAAGCCAAGTGTATTTCAGAACAGACAGAGGCAGGAGAGTCCCACTGAAGTTACAGACAGATTTAATGGGATTTAGAAAACCCTCTTGCATTTCACTTCAGCAGCCACCAGTTCACAGACCTCAATCCTGCAGCCTGCCCTGGGCAAGCAGGATGCCCACAGAGGTCAGCGGGGCTGTGGGCACATCGGTGATCCAAAAGCCACGGTCCCTCCTAGGAAACACCCTGAACTCTCCGTGTTTTATAAAACATTCATTTTCAGTGACATTTACATATCTTCACTAACTTGGTACATCCAGTGAAACTGCAGCTGTTATGACTATATACTTCCTTTGCATGGGTTTGTTTTGTTTTTCTGCCTCACCACCTTAGCTCCAGATCCTGCATGACTCATGCACACGTTTAACTTTAAACATGCAGGCAGTCTGCGTAAATCCAGAAGAATTACTCACATGTTTATAGTTAGTTATGTGGTGGAAGAAGTCCAGGGCACCTAGGATAGTGGGATAATAAAGTTTCTACAATATCTTACAGGGGATTTCCTAACTGCCCAAATATAATGAGGTAAACCTCAGCAGTCATAGCTGTCTCTTTCCAGAGCAATTTGGACACACAAGTAATTTGTGTAAGGACAAGGCAACCCAATTCAGAAATAAAATCCAAGTGTCCTCAGTCTCAGGTTCCTACTCACAAAAGAAATTACTGCTTCAAAATAACAGAACGAAGCCCTCTGAACTAAGTAGCTATTCACATGCAGAGATCTGCTTCAGAAAAAAATGCAGAATTCATCTTAAAATTGCAGAGAAATCTTGGGTATGATGACTTCAAACAGGAGAATAAATCTTGAGATGGGTTCCTGAGCAGCCCTGAAAAGCAACCAAACACCACCCGCCTCAACAAAAATTGTCTGAAGGGCAGAGCTGAATTAGGACTTGGCTTCACTTGCAGCATCAGGTCAGAATCTGAGTTTTGTGCTAACCTGACTCCAGGGCACAAAGTCCTTCGAAGGGTCAGTTAAGCTTGCTGGTGTCCCAGGAGGAAAGGGACATACCTGCCATGCTATTTAAGAGTGAAGCTTTACCTGTGTTTCTACCAGCCCTAATCACAACCTGCTGCTAAGGACCCGCTCTCCCACCCATCCCAGCCATGCACTCCCATCACTCTTTGCACTAGATTTCAGTCCGCTCTGTGGCCGCACAGGTAAGCTAATGAATTTGTGTTGCAGACCTGGTTTTTGGCCAGAGCAGCCAGCTGATCCAACTCACCGCACAGTCACCCCTGGATGCCACGCCGAATGGGCCAGGCAAACACGGCTGTAGTAGGAAGGACCCGCTCGGTGGCAGCTTGCAGTCACACAGGATCAAATGCGTCATGAAACCGTTCCCTGAACCCCATCAAAACTTGCTTAGTGGGATTTCTAATGCTCACACTGCCGAGCAAGTGCTGTGCTGTTGAGGTGGTTTGGCAGGGTGAGACAGGATTTAACAGAGTACAGGGAACTTGACCCAGAGCTACTGTGAAGCCACTGGTCTTGCTGCTAGTAGTGCAAGTCATTCAGCTGGCTACTATGAAAACACGAGAGACACATCACTCTTGTACCTTGCTTCCCGTGAGTTGTGCGAGATGAGGCTTCAGTTCTTCTCCAATTACTGAATAAATTGCCACTAGGCAAAATACGCTAGCTTTACGGACGCTGCTCTCCGTATTATCGTAACCCTAGGAAACAAGGGAAAAAAGGTCAGAAGCCGAACAGCACTAACATCCTTCCAGAGCAATATACTAAAAAGCTGATGAACATTCTGCAAGTGTGGCTGACCTAACAGATCAATGCTTAACATAAGTTTGCAACCTGAATACTCAAAGAGCGAGAGAATACAATCACCCAGTACATCTTCATATTATTAGTTATTACTATCATGTTGTAAATTATTAACATCTTGTTACAACATTAAACACCACCATACAGTTTCCCAACATGAGCTTAAGACTCTATCAAAGATACACAATCCTGCGTCCAGTTCAGACGACCATAAGTTATCCCGGCTGATTAACACTTCTTGGAGGGGAGCCCTGGTGCTCCCAGCTTGCCTTCGGAAAAGTCTCTCCTGACCCAAATCTAACTCAAAGGAAACCAATTCTGCTCCTGAGAGCAAAATTACAGATGGAGATGAATTTTGCAGCAAAATGGCCTGACGGTTATATCACCCAGGACATGAAAACCAGAATCCTGTTTCGGGAACAAACATTCTAGCTAAATATCTCTTTGGACATGACAGCTCTATCCAGGCATTAGAAATAGCAAAGTCACAGTCATCATGGATGTTTTCCAACTCTTCAAAAGCACTGGGCTTAAACATTGTGGTTAACAGTGCGACACGCACGTGGCTAGTGTGTTAGATGTACTGCCTCTGCAACCTGGAGCTTTTTGATTACTTATCAAGGTAGGAAATACCACAGAAAAGAACATATTGAAAGACCCTTGTAGGTGTGCCGGATCTCTGGCAGCTTCAGGAGAGCTCAAACTAGCCACCAGGTCACACAGCAGATGGTGACATCAGTCAGTACTCAGGCAGCGACTCATCACTAAACAGCCATCCCATGATAAACACAGACATCACTTCAACCTGCAAGATGCTGGCTCCTCCAGATGCAGGGTGACCTCTGCCAGGAAAGCCCGGAGGAGGGATGCGGCAGGGCCAAAATACAGTCCGAAATGACACTCTGCAATCCCAAAGAACACTGAACTAGAAAAGCAGGAGACCTAGGTGAGCTCAGAGAAACACCAAGCTATTGAGGACTGAGGTGGAAAAAAACCCAGCCCAGGCCCACAGCAGAGGAACACGCAGACGCAACCCACTGCTGCGAGGACAGCTGGGATGCAAGGCTCGCTCTATGGGTCCTAACCCAAAGGCTCCCCAACTCATCAGGTGCCTCTCCTTCACCTCACGTTTCCCTGTGGCATTTTGCTTACATGTACATCCCAGATCGTGCCAGTGGGAGCAGGCAGATCCATGCTGTGTCGAGGCCCGAGAGGGCTGTGTCCCAGCAGGCGCTGGGCCGGCAGAGCCCGCCCCGTAGGCACCAGCGGGACCACCGCGCCATCTGCCAGCGTGCTTGCAAGGCAGTGGCTGCTTCTCCTGGCATTTAATAACATAGCCCAGTGGTTAGAGCATTCACTCAGGAGATGATAGGGTCTCAAAGCTCTCCTCAGCCTGAGGGTATTGATCCCTGAGGGTACGCGTGGGAAAGTGCCTTGTGGCCCAGCTCTATCCCCCCGGCTCCAAGGGAGCCAGAGCTCTGCAGCGGTACCAGGGCAAGCACTATGACTCTCCCCAGCCAAGCCCCGTGCTTGCATGGAGATCTCCATCTGCTCATGGGGATCCTGCTCCAGGCTGCTAAGCTGCACATTTGTGCTCATACTGCTGCTGTCCAACGCTCCTCGCCTCTTCACCACTCTGCCAGTACCCTCGGCATGGTAAACAAGCACACAGGTGATTCCCTCTGCGCAGTTCTTCGGCCAGAAGGATCCCAAAATACTTCCCAAAAACAAGGAGTAGATTCCTTCAGCCATTATGAGTTTCTAAGGTGAGGAAATACCACTGGCAAACTAGGCTCCAGAACAAGATCCGTTTTAAGGCACGGAAGCAATTTAATAAAACAAATATAACTGCATTTTTAAAGGCATGCTGCACCCAGACTTTTCCGACGCACTGAAACTCCACTGTTCAGATTGTTGTCTCCAACAATTATGGCTAAAAACTTTTTACAACAAAAGTTTAGATCAATACAGAATTGCCCGATTCCCAGAAGTCGAGTTTTAAGAAAAGAATTGCAAGAGCTGACACTACAAAGCTGGGACAAATGCTAGGATGCACAAGGGATGTTTCTGACCTTGCTCTTGTCCTTCCAACTTTTTATGCTCACAATGAGGAGGCTTATCCCAGTTCTCCACTGAAGTGTTACCCATCCAAACATATCTCCCCATGCACACTGCCCAATTTGTTCCTGTTGCAATCCCTCTCCAATAAACACACACACATTCTCTCTCCTCCCTCATGCCACCTCCCCTTATTTCCTTCTTCCTTGCAGCCTCATCCCAGCCACTGGCACTGCCAGCTGCTTGTGCAGGGAAACAGAAGACAACACTGCTACAAGCCAGCGCTGAAAGCTGAATTCACAATGTAAGATCAAGCCTTAGCATTGGCAAAACCACAGCTTCCCACCCAGCCTGAGAGGGGTATGAATGAGGTTGAATGAATGAAGTTTGCAAGTAGTTCAGTCCTGATTTCAGAGAGGAAAGAGGAAAGGACTAGCCTGCCTGCTAGGATTCAACTTCAAGTGCAAAGTGAAGAACAGCTCAGCAGAATTAAAGGAGACTACAAGATGCATTGCTTGGGATGTACTGAGACAGCATAAGATGTGGCTAACTCCTACTCTCAAATTTATTACATGGCTGCTACCAGCTTATTCAGGAGTCAGGCCAAGGCATCTAATTGTGGAACATACACATAAGAATCTGAGTTTTCCTTTCCTTAACATTAAAACCATCAAAAAAATATAAAAACTTGGGGATTAAAACTTTAAGTTTACCAAAATCTGGGCCCAGAGGGTCCATCTTTTTCTCTTAGGTCACAGACTGCACAAATTACTCATTGGTGGTTTGTGCTCATCAGCATTTATGACATAGGATTCTGTACCTGTAACAACCCAGGAATGATATCAGGAAGGAGCTGATGCAACGATTCCTTCGAAATCCTCTCGATGACTTTCGTCTGCATTTTGATGGCAGCTAAGTTAATTGGATAATCTGCAGTTTGAATGATGGGGCAAAGCACCTTGATGCATTGCTCGGGGTGGATGGAACTCGCCAGGGTGGAAGCAGCTTCTTCAGCAGCTCTGACGACCTGGAATGAAAGCAGAGCAAAACCTTGTGTTAGTGAGGTCACACGTCACAGCCAAAACCACCGGTGTGTACTAGGAACGACTGCCAGGAAATGTTTGGGGATGTTCGTTAGGAGGCTCTGTCGAGAGGCGATTGACCCTGAGAATTCACATTCTTCACCTCCAGTGACATCTTTGTTCCAGCCAGTGGCAAGAAGTCCATCCTGTCTAATGTAACTGTGTCAAAGTTGTGGCTGGTTTGAAAGAGTCATCTGCCATCCAAGACACACAGGCACCCCCATCCTAGGAGAAGTGAGAGGACAACATTTCTCCAGCTACGGTCAAAGAACCTAAACCCACCAGCTTAGACTTAATGCAAAATTTATCTCCTTAAACATTATAATCACAGACTACCAGGTTGGGAGGGATCTCAAGCATCATCTGGTCCAGCCTTTCTTGGCAAATGCACAGCCGAGACAAGATGGCCCAGCTCTCTGTCCAGCTGAATCTTGAAAGTGTCATGAATGACACCGTTGCACCTTATAGTATGCACTTCATCTGCCAGTGCTTGGGTGCCCAAGCTGAGACACCCATGCCAACACAGATGCGTCCTGCCATTTCCCAGCTAAACTACGCTGTAATCAAACCCAGGCTACAGACACAAACAGGCTTTGGTGTGTCCCTGACCAGGCAGCTGTGCTCGCAGCACATCTAACCCACTAGGACAGCGCTGGGACCACTATAAAACATGGGAGGAAGGATAAGTGAAAACTGGGGTAGCACACACCTTTTGCCACAAGCCAACTCTGTAAAGCAGTCATGCAAACAAGGGAGATCCCAAATTCAATTCCACTCTTAGCCTGAGGGAAGGCAAATCCACAGCTTTCACACTCTTCCCCAGCATGCAGGACAGCTAGCTGAAAGAGGAAAGACCCGACTGCGGTCTCTCCTCCCATGAGAGTTTACTCATTTTACATTCTGCAGTAATTGGATAAAGAAACAGGATGGGAAGGCAGGTTTTTCTTTTTTCAACTGTCTGTGCTAATTGCCAGGCAACAAAATGAAGCTTCCCCATGGCTGCACTCTTCCTGGCCACAAATCCCACACTCTTTGCTCCCCTTGTTCTTGTTTCAGTACAACAGATGGGGGATGCTTTTCTCACTCCCCTCTTCTTAGGGCCTGCTTTTAAGGGGGGGGTAAAGCCTGAGTGGACAGAGATGCCCCAGTGGGCAGACTTAAATCCAACGATGCAACTCTAAGAAGAAAGAAGCATTCGCAAATCCTCATGCTTAGGACCTCCCATCTAGCCCCAAGCAGTCCCTAACTCTGAGCCCAGGAGCATTTATACAGCCTTTTGAGGCACCCCCTCTTTCCTGATTGTGTGGGAGGCTCAGACACCCAGCACCAGTTCTTTAACTCATCCTAAGCTGAACTACCTGGGGTTGTCTGAAGTCGATAGTTTAAAACCAGCACCAGGAAATCTGTCCCAAGCAATTCACAAAAAAGCAAATAAATCAAACCACAAGTCTCCCATCACTTAGACTGAATCCATAGCTGCTGGATTCTCCTCGTTCCCCTCTTCCACACGCTGTCATGGTGTCAAACTCAGGAATTTCTATTTGACTAAGGCAACCCATGGACAGACATAGTTCCAGAAAAGCCTCAAAAGAAGGCGAGCTTTCATTATTTTTAAATAACTACTATGGATAATACACAAACCAGGAGTATCTGGAAGTTTATTTCAGTCCTTACTAGGACAAGAATGTCTCCCCCTGTCTGGACTACAAAAAAATTTCCAGTAACGTTTAACTGTTTTTTAAGATAACAGCAATGAATAGCGACCAGAAGAGATCATCTCCACCTACAAAGCCTGCTTCACCCACAGTCTTAGCATCACAGCCACACCACTATCATTAATCTTCCACTCATGCTGACAGCTACCTCCCTGAAACAGGAATGGCCACAAGATACTTGTACACCCAGGAAATAACAGAAGTCATCCACTTGGCTCTAGCATCCTCTAAAGCAAACCCAACAGTGACCGTGATCTCAGATACTTCACACAGTACAAATACTACTTGCAGGCAAGGTACAGGCAGGGCAGTGAAGCAGACTGAGACCTTGACTGCTTCTGTATCAGTGCCCTATTTACAGAAGAAAAGCTGTCAAACTGCTCCATTTACTTCAGGCCTTTCTCAGCATTTAATCACAATATTAAAACATATTCCAAAAAGAATGGCAATCCACAATGTGGCCACTATTTAAAAAAAAAAAAATCCTGAAAGATCTGTGAATGAGTAACCAAGCAGAACAGAATGCTTGTTTTCCTCACTTCCAGCAAGCTTTCCTCTTCCAGCTATTTCTTTGCTAATTCCTCTTCAATTTCACACACGAGAAGCATAAAAGTTAGTATTTTTCTGTGTAAGCTAGTACTAGTTTGGAAGCAAGAACTATGTGATTTTGTTGGGAAAGGAGAGGAACACCCAAGTACTTCAGGGAAACCTAATGCCATGCTTTGCTACCACGATGTTGGATTGCTGGAGTGGATGAAGTCAGGAGCTCCCAGGAGGTCTCCTTTAAAGGAACTCGCTTCCTGGCACTGCAGCTTTTGACGTCTGCTTTCCCAGTGTTGAAACACTGCTACCATCAAGCTTTCCAGAAACAATGCAGTGGACTTACAGAGAGCCCAAATATCTTGTAATCAATTTAACAACATTCACAAGCAAGTCACTAGCTAAAAAACCCCAACTATAACTATTTAGACACAGGCCACTTGGGATTTTGCTTTGCAACAACTCCAAATACTGTTAGTAAATGTTTTCAGCCACTCTTGCTTGCACATATATCACAACTCACAAAAAAAAAAAAAATTTTTTTTTTTTTAAAACCTTAAATCCTCTTGGTATCCTGTTTGATAAGAAAGCAACAATATTTTACTATGCATCTATGGACAGACTCTGATCTCAAATACACTACTGTAAACTCCGAACAGTACAGGTGTTGGTCAAAATTTCAATGAGTCATTCTAGCTGGATTTCAGCTCCACATCCTGTTTGCATACAGTTCACCATGCATATTAAGTTGCAGGCATGAGGCAAGTGCATGAGACAAAAACCTTTTTTTTTAAAAAGAAAAAGGCTATTAACGCATTCCAAGCACAAGAGGTTAAAATACAGCTGTAATTTTTCACAGAACAAGTGGGGGTTCAAATAGCAACAAAGGTCATGTGTATTTTGCACATCGTAAGGTCAGCAAGAAAAGTTGTGAAGGTGCAGGATTTATTTATGCCCCTGCCAAGTCCTCCTTGCAGCAAAGCTGCAAGGATCTGGCTGCATTTACACAGCAGTTGGGTATTTCACATCACTTCTCCGTGAAATGCCTTCCTTCTGAATACAGAAGGATGTATTACACGTGTCCAGTAGGATTCCTGATGATATTAGCTTGTAAATGTGACAACACCAGGGAGACTTCCAAGTCTTCCGAGAGCACATCTGGCAGACAGCGTCTGCATCTAAGCCACGCTTCAGCAAACCCCTTAAGCGTACGTGTAATAGCACGCTGAAGTCTCACTGACGGGATTCAAGCATGTGCTTACATGTTTGCTTGCATCAGAGCCTCTGCAGGTAACTAGCTCCTGGCTCCCTTGGAAAGGGCCAGCAGGGCGCAGGGTGTAGGAATGGACAGGGCAATACCAGCAAGACTGAGCCAAAAAGACAAGCTCATTC